TACGACAGGTCTGGACCACTCGTGAATTTTGTTCGTATCTGAAAAAAATCTTAGAATTCGAAAACATTGGTGAATGCCACAAATTCTCCTAAATCACTCGTACGCACAACTTAACAAATCTGTGCATACGAACGGTTCTTGCATGAGGCCCATTGACACTGAATAATAAACATTTTTTTTAAAGTTAGATCCATCTTTTTAGTTTCAGACAAAAAATAGATGGAAAAGATCAGTTTTTTCAGTTTGGATTATTGTGCTCATATTTGGTGAAATAAATGTTTGCTCCTTTTTTTGTTTTCTTTTCTCACATGAAGCTTCTAAATCAGTGTTTGTGCGTTCTCCCACAGGGTGAGCTGAGGATCAGCGTTCTGCCCACCTACCTGTCCTACGATGCCCCCTGGCCTGTCAGAAAGATTCCACTCAGGTGCACCGTGCACTACGTCTCCTACCACGTTGAATCTAAGGTACAGCTCCTCTCAGCAGCAAATCATACAAACCTGACTCCCACAGGCTCGCACACGTCCTCTTATGTAACGCTGCAAAATAAAACCGAACAGAGGAGCTGCTTTGAAAAGAGCCGGATGAAAGGCTTTTGGCCTTGAAGTTTTCTCACAGCAAGAGAGAAAAAAGGTATTAAACTTTGATGTGAAGGTTTTCTGGATTGTTGGCTTTCAGGTGTACGCCGTGTGCACGAGTGTGAAGGAGCTGTGCACTCGCATCCCCAGGATGACTGGAGAGGAGAAGGAGTTTGAAGTCATAGAAAGAGGTCAGAGAGAAACACGTCTCTTGTTGGTTCTGTGAGCCTTTCAGCTGAATGTGAAGTGTGTTTGTGACGCTGGAGAAATATATTCAATTATTATTTTATCTTTTTTTTTGCTGTTATGAGGACAGTTCTGGTCAACAGATTCCTTTAAGCATTGTTTCAAATGCTTTTCTTTATTTCAGATATTTATTTCAGTAACTCTTTCAGTCTCTTCAGCGTAGAATCAGGCAATATTAGCAAAAAAATGAATCACAATTGTGACAATCTGTTCTCACCCCCCACTCTGCTGAATGAACATAAAACCATCAAACTCCTTCCTGACTGATGCCTGAAAATATTTAACTAGTGGCAAAAAAATCTACAGGAAGAAAAAACTAAAAAGAGAAGAAAGTTCAGCAGCGATGGAGACACAGCCAGAGTGAGCAGTGAGATTTACAGCGGGTAAAATAAGTATTGAACACGTCACCATTTTTCTCAGTAAATATATTACTAGAGGTGCTAATGACATGAAATTTTCACCAGATGTCGGTAACAACCCAAGTGATCCATACATACAAAGAAATCAAACCATAAATGTCCAGAAATGAAGTTATTTGTAATAATGTGGAATGGCACAGGGAAAAAGTATTGAACACATGAAGAAAGGGAGGTGTAAAAAGTCATGGAAAGCCAAGACACCAGCTGAACTCTCTCAGTAATTAGAAAACAAGCCTGCCCCTTGTCAGTGCAAGTTAATATCAGCTGGTTCAGTCCCAAATGATGGCCAGGTATCACACAAGAACCATCTGATGATGGGTAAAAGTAAAGAGCTCTCTCAAGACCTTCACAACCTTATTGTTGCAAAGCATAATGATGGCATCGGTTACAGAAGAATGTCTAAACTTCTGAAGGTTCCAGTGAGCACTGTTGGGGCCATAATTCAGAAGTGGAAAGAACATTATTTCACCATAAACCGACCACGACCAGGTGCTCCTCGCAAGATTTCTGACAGAGGAGTGAAAAGAATTATCAGAAGAGTTGTCCAAGAGCCAAGGACCACTTGTGGAGAGCTTCAGAAAGACCTGGAATTAGCAGGTACGATTGTTTCAAAGAAAACAATAAGTAATGCACTGAACCACCATGGCCTGTATGCACGCTCACCACGCAAGACTCCACTGCTGAAGAAACAGCATGTTGAAGCTCCTTTAAAGTTTGCTGCACAACATTTCAACAAGCCTGTGTAATACTGGGAGAATATAGTCTGGTCAGATGAGACCAACGTTGAACTGTTTGGATGCCAGAATACACATCATGTTTGGAGGTCAAATGGCACTGCACATCAGCCCAAAAACACCATACCAACAGTGAAGTTTGGAGGTGGGAACATCATGGTGTGGGGCTGTTTTTCAGCATATGGTACTGGCAGACTTCAAATAATTGAAGGAAGGATGAGCGGAAAAATGTACAGAGACATTCTTGATAAAATCTGCTTCCATCTACCAGGATGATGAAGATGAAACGTGGCTGGACATTTCAGCAAGACAATGAGCCCAAACACAAAGTCAAGGAAACTCTCAGTTGGTTTCAGAGAAAGAAACTAAAGCTGCTGGAATGGCCCAGCCAATCACCTGACCTGAATCCAACAGAAAATCTATGGAAAGAACTAAAGATCAGAGTTCATAGAAGAGGTCCACGAAACCTTCAAGATTTGAAGACTGTTTGTGTGGAAGAATGGGCCAAAATCACACCTGAGCAATGCATGCCACTAGTTTCTCCATACAGGAGGCGTCTTGAAGCTGTCATTGACAACAAAGGCTTTTGTACAAAGTATTAGATAAATTTCAGTAAGTGTGTTCAATACTTTTTCCCTGTGCCATTCCACATTATAACAAATAACTTCATTTCTGGACATTTATGGTTTGATTTCTTTGTATGTATGGATCACTTGGGTTGTTACTGACATCTGGTGAAAAGTTCATGTCATTAGCACCTCTAGTAATATATTTACTGAGAAAAATGGTGACGTGTTCAAAACTTATTTTACCCGCTGTATATTTTATAGTGAGGCTTTAGTTTAGTCAATTTTAGTGTCTTTCAGTGAAAACAATGAGGTGATGTTTTCAGAACTGGTGTTGCATTTTAAATAATTCCCTTTTCTGTGTTATTGACATGTTTATTGTGTAACCAACCTGATGTTCTGTTGACTGCAGATGAGCGTTACATTAACCCTCAGCAGGAGAAGTTCTCCATCCAGCTCATCTCTCCAGTCAGCTGGGAGACCATTCCTAACACACGGTAACAGCTCTACTTTGATTAAAACCTTTTTAGTCTTAATTGTTTCAAAGACAGTTTAGGCTCGTTCTTATTTCAGCCACAAGCATCTGAAAAAACAGAGTTAAATATCAAATATCAAAATTTCAGTGCATAATTGTGCTTTAAAATGTGTTTTTGGACTTATAACACAACAGGCAACACACAGTGTTAGTGTCTGTGACCTGTATATCCTTCAAAAACAAAAAGTAAAAGAAAACACCTTTTATTCTTAAGAAAATTGGCATGATTTTACACATTTTGTCTCATAATCGGCCTATTTTCTTTTGAACTTGGCTCAGCCAAAGTGAAACAGGAAGTGACATCAAAGAAGAACTCATTAATAAAATAAACTGTCATTGTTTGTTTATTATTAACTCTTCTTCATCTCTCTTTGATAGAAACTCAAAATAATGTAAAGAAACATCAGATTCTTCTCCACAGTCTCTGTTGTCAGTCATTGTAACAACGCCCTGTTTACATGCTGACATTTCCGTTTGACATCACTTCCTGTTTCTTCACATGCAAATATGTCAACAACGATTCATTTCAGCAGCATGAAATTAGTTTTGCAGTATTTTATCAATGTTCTCTTTCCAAAAATGCGTTTGTGTTTATTACAAAAAGTTGACGTGACAGACACTTGAACGTGTCACTTCAGAAGCAACATGGCGGCTGAGAATCTTGCTTTATCAAGTCTGTGTGTTTGTACGACTAAACGTCCCTGTGGTCTGTTTAAGGATCGACCTGGAGGAGTGGGAACACGTCACCTGTATGAAGACGGTCTCACTGAGGAGTCAGGAGACGGTGTCTGGACTGAAGGGCTACGTCGCAGCGGGGACCTGTGTGATGCAGGGGGAGGAGGTCACCTGCAGGGGCAGGGTGGGCAGATCACACCCAGGATGAAACCGACTCTTAAAAAACATGAACAAAGCCACAAACGTCTCATTGTGTTGTGTTTATGGCGGCTCCTTGTGTTCAGATTCTGATCCTGGATGTGATCGAGGTGGTCCCAGAGCCTGGCCAGCCCCTCACTAAGAACAAGTTCAAAGTTCTGTATGAGAAGGAGCAGAAGGGACCGGTGACGGCTCTGTGTCACTGCCACGGATACCTGGTGTCGGCCATCGGACAGAAGGTCTCACTGCACCAACACTCAGAAAACCTCATTAAACTGAGGCTTTTATTACAAACTATATAAAACCTTTGTTCCAAAACCATTGAAGAGTTTGTTTTTGTAGCCAGAATCTGGTCACCTCAGCTAAAAACTCAGTCTGAATCTCAGTTTTCCATTCAGCAGCTGTAACGTCCTGCTGTCCCCTCAGATCTTCCTGTGGGTCCTGAAAGACAACGATCTGACGGGCATGGCCTTCATCGACACGCAGCTCTACATCCACCAGATGATCAGCATCAAGAACTTCATCCTGGCAGCCGACCTGATGAAGAGCATCTGCCTGCTGCGCTACCAGGAGGAGAGCAAGACGCTGTCTCTGGTCAGCAGGGTGAGGCTGCTTCCACAGCTCCGCATCGGTTCAGTCGTCCCTCTGGACCTGGAGCTCATCGCTTTTTGTTGTTGTTTTTAACAGGATGCAAAACCCTTAGAGGTTTACAGCATCGAGTTTATGGTGGATAACAACCAGCTGGGATTTCTGGGTAACGTTCCTCACGATTTTTTACTGAAGTTAAAACAAAATAATCAAACTCTTCCTCACCGAGCTGTTTCTTCTCTTCAGTGTCGGATCGAGACAAGAACCTGTTTGTTTACATGTATCTACCTGAAGGTGAGCGACCCAGAGCTGCCAACAGGACCGACCTGGTGATAAAAGCAGCGGCAAGTTTTTCTGAGTGGTGTGTGTGTGTGTGTGTGTGTGTGTGTGTGTGTGTGTGTGTGTGTGTGTGTG